GGAGGGTACTCTGTATCACAGTAACAGGGAGGGTGAGATTCCATAGACGGATACACTGAAAGTCATTGGAGACCAAAGATTAGAACCACAAAGTATCATTGACATAAAGAGTATATGGACCTTTGTTGTTTTCTCTATTCAAGTTTGCTTATTGGTATGACATTTATTGATTATGCTAGATGCATTTGCTAACCAACATTCTTAAGTCTGGGTAATTAATATTACAAAATATGCATATAAAACTACATGAATTGTTTTACTTGGGTTTCGTATCATTTACTGCACCGTAATGTGTTGTTTGTAGGTTTAAAAGTGGAAACTATGCATCATTATTTTTTAAAGTATTGTGCACTATTCTAAACATCCCATGGTGCATGGTGTACAAAAGGAAATTGAGCATAAATAAACAGTTAACCAAAATCGTAAATCCATATTATTCAGGGTCTTTGTCTTCTGCAAACCGCGGTAGCAGATTATAAATCATTTGAATAGTTTGCCTTCTCGACAGGTAAAATAATGAAGTGGGTTATCCTGATACTTTACTGCACTTTAAGTTCTCTTTTTGTGACCTATGAGATCCAACTTTTATAGTAACATTAATGACAAGGATACGGAACATGGGGGCCAATTTTAAAGTCCGGGCACAGATTGTTTGCCTGAGGGATCTGATATTTCTAGATGGAATTTAAACTACCTTTGCGGTGCGGGAATAGCTCAAAACCATGAAGGAGAAAATGTCAGGGAATCAGAAGAGAGAGAATGGCAACTGAGGACAGATACAAGGAGAAACCCAGAGGCCAAATGAGCAGTAAATAATCTAGCTGGCGAAAACGTCTTAACTGAATCGTTTTACTGCTGTCACAATGCAGGGGAAACAAGGAAAAGTCAAAATGTACCCTTCACTGAGCAAATCTTATGGACCATCCCTACTTAAGAAATTTCTGAAGCAAAATTAATCGGAACTTTCTTTTCACAGCACATTTAACTCATCAGACAACAACTGGCACATTCTCAGTACCAGTGAGCGTGAAAATCTATTATAATGGCAATAACCTTCACATCTGTCCACTTTGTAGTTATTGTGCAAGATATCACTGGAATCCAATCACCGATAAAGGCGGTGGGAAGATGGAATGAGGGGAATGGAACAGCTTGTGTGAAGAAATTCGTTAAGTAAAACCCATTACCTGCATCTTGTACCTAGATCCTGTTTAGCCATCATAAGAACAAACAAAAGTTACAATGGAAATTCTTACTAAGATTTTATTTCTAGCTACAAAGGAAGATTTATGGTCCCCGACTAAAGACTCACCATAAATTTACAATTGACCAATGTATGCGCTGTCCGTCCGTCCGTAAATTTAAGTGAATTTCAACTTTTAGTCCAATGTAGCTAAAAATTATCTATACCTGACTGGGGGATTTCTTTTTCCAGTTCCTACATTTTGGCCAAGATTTTGAACTTCGCTTTGAATTCCCGATATTTTTTTTAATTAACAGCTGAAAACATTTAGAAAATGAAACAAAGATCAACACAATGTACAAAGATAAATCAAATGTTACCTATATTAACAGGTAAGATCCAATATTGGGAATACCATGTACAGTACACATCCACAAATGTTGGTGTTCTAAGGGAAGGCTTATCTCAAAAATCTCTCATGCCACCTGTTGTAGGAGAGACTACCTTTCATCATCGATGCAAGCAAAATATGTGTTGAGTTTACATGGTGGTTCTCATGTTTCTTGACAACTGTTGGTGATATCCATGAGTTTTCATTAAACCCGACACATAGCTTTTTAGAGGAAAAGGTGGCCCCGAGGTGGTATTTAGAAATTGTTAGGCATGGTCACATTTACACAAGTTTCTCACCTCTCTGTTTTAGGGGTTGTGGTTGTACAACATGTGGTGGACATGTGTGAAGGTTGTTAAAGGGACACTATAGTCACCAGAACAACTACAGCTTATTGAATTTGTTCTGGTGAGTAGAATCATTACCTTCAGGCTTTTTGCTGTAAATGCAATGTTTACATTACAGCCTAGTGATAATTTCACTGGCCACTCCTCAGATGGCTGTTAAAGATCCTTCCTGGGTCATGGCTGCCTAAAATGCATCCAAACATTCAGTATCTCCTCCTTCTGCATGCAGACACTGAACTTTCCTCATAGAGATACATTGATTCAATTGATCTCTATAAGGAGATGCTGATTGGCCAGGGCTGTGTTTGATTCATGCTGGCTCTGCCCCTGATCTGCCTCTTTGTCAGTCTCAGCCAAACCTATGAGGAAGCATTGTGATTGGATCAGGCCAGCACTTCTGATGATGTCTGCAGACAGCTTGTTTTTTTTTTTTTTTTAGGCAAACAGCATGCAGAGTTACAGCTTCAGGCTTGAATACAGTAAGATGTTGCTATATTTATGGAGGCATGAGGGGCCCAGGGGTGCTAGATGGTGGTTTTAACACTATAGGGTCAGGAATACATGTTAATGTTCCTGACCCTATAGTGATCCTTTAAATTTTGGGAGAGTGTTTCTGCACTTCTGATCCAGCTACTTGCTCTATCTATGAAACCTCATCTTATATTGGCCACCCTTTTAAAAGCACAGTTTAGGCACCATCACAACTTAATAAAACATGAAGTTGTTATGGTGCCTGGAGGTCCCTGGCCCTGGCTCACTTTATGGATTAAAACATTTCTTGAATAAACTACAGTGATATTGAGAATTAAATGAAATAAAACAAATAACTATGCATAATCATGCAGTATAATGTTTCACGCAAATAATTCCATTGTAGATAAGGTGAATCACAAAAGAAACTGGAAAACATATAAGCATTGCTGTATTTTCTGTAATGGAAAATACACAATGCAGTTTGGAAGATAAATAATAAGGCTCTTAATATACTGTATATGCAACAATATGAACACAAGTTAGAAGCAGGATAATCTCAAATTGAACATAGCATATTAAACACATAGGGGAGCAAAGTCCTGCACTCCTAAGCAACATAAAGAATGTTGACTGGAACAAGAGAAGTCATAATTTCCCTCTTTATGAGAGAAATTCAAATCAGGGTCCATCACATACTTTCAGTGATCCATCGATGATCTGTAGATCTCATACCCACAACACATGGATTAAGCAGTTTTTTTTCAGTTTGAAAGAAGTCAAGGGATATGAATAGGAATAATCATTTGGTTTAACTTTGGCATCTTTTGAATCCAACTAAAATGCGTTGCCATCAGCTAAAAACACATTTTCCACTAAATGTTGCACATTTACAAATATAGAGAAAAAAGAAAAAAACTAAACTTTAAGCATTTAACAAGGCCAAACACTAAGTAAAAATAATGTGTAAAATGTCAACCTTCCCTCAGTCCATGGTAGTCTGATCTTTAGTTCCCAATGGGATATAAAACCCAATTACTCAAGAGCCAAGTCCTCTGATGCATGTGCACTCTGGGTAAATCAACACTTTCAAAGCTGTGGCAAAGCGAGGCAAAACAACAATAAAATAAACACACACAAATGCCAAATCCTTTATATGAGTCCAAGGTCAAATCCGGGTAAAGCAATTGAAGAGGGAGAATCAGAAGGCAGTCATAAGCCAATCCGAGTCAAAAGACATCTGTCCATCTAATTCAGCTTTTCCAAAATTCCGGTTTCCATTGTTGGTCATAAATAAACTACAAAAAACCCATCGCTGTCATTTCAACTTGCACTTCAATAAAGGGAAACCAATATTATTGAACTGAAAATGGATTCACGTTGCAAGGATCAAAAATCCGTTTTCAGCAATATTTACTTCAGACATTTAAATACATTTGCCACAATAATTTTGTTTCTAGTCTCTCCCCAACTTTTCGTTAATCCAAAACACCTTAATGTTTCAGCATTAGTATATATACACATCTAATTCAGTCAAATAAGTGTTAATTACTCTTGCTTCAGTAAATAAATAAACCAATTAATAATGCTATGAATACCTCATTGCAGACTATCACTGACTTACCTCGTGTAGATTAGTTCTCAAGAACTCCAGAGAATGACCAATCATTACTTACTTGTGTTCTGTACAGAGTTGAGTAAAAATTTACATAATTGTGTTGCAGCAGAAATATTCTATTCAGAATTTGTCGAAGCATTTGATATTGTCCTATGTGAAAAGTTAATGTAAAAGTTGAAAGTGAAAGATTAATGCTTGTGCTTGAATTGAAAACTGCCTCAGATGTACAGAGCTTTTGCAGACATGGATAGAGTAGCCATTTGAAAAGTTACAATTTTAGGAGTAAAATAATGGGTTTTTCATTTTACCAATGATCTGTTTGACTTCCAATATTGACTGGTATGCAACATGACTATGAACATCAATCTGCAGTTCAGGAACTTGAATAGCAATGTCCAATATGATTCTTAGTAGCCTTGCCGAATTTAACCCTGAGTCTGTGATAGAAAAAACAGTCACTCATGCCCATGCCAGGACCCACCCAACTCCTCATTCTCAAGAAGGGAATAATCACTGTGGCCCATATAACTAAACCCCTATGTTTTCTTCCCAGAGGCCTTGTCCCAAACCCCTGGTCCTCACCGCCTGTCCCTCCACAACAAACCACCGAGAGCCCCTCTCCTCAGTACCACCTAAAGAGTTCAGATAGTCGAAAAGACTATAGCTGCACTTACGCACAAATCTTATTGAACTCTGGCCTGCCCTCAACTAGTCTCCATACCCAGCCAACTTCAAACCCTGTATTCCCCCACTTTCCGAGCAGCCAGAAGAGCGCTCTTTTGAGGGGAGGCACAAGGACTATGTGGAACAATTGCTCTCTGAGACCTAGGAGAGTGTTGCCTTTTTTTATACCTCAGGGGCTCCAGATATTTGACCGGCCAAAGCCCCATTCGCCATCGAACACTTTTGGGCATGGACATTGCTAGCAGCTGGTCAAATTTTTACCCCATGGCGATTATCAAATTCTGCATGGATCCAAACGCTTTTTTGCCAACATCGTTTTGCCTAGATTACACCTTGGATGAAGAGATCCAGGTAATTAGCAATTGAATGTACCCTTGCTAAGATTCAGCTGTTACAAAATGAACCAAATATAGTATTATATAAATTGAAGCAAGTAGCAAAAACAGTTTCTAATAACAATATCATTTATCACCCATACAAAGTATGCACAGCTGGATTAACCATAAGGCAATTTAAGGCCTCCACCAGAGTTCCCGGAAGTCATGAAAAAAACATGGCCTCATCTATCATCGCTATACTAAGAGGTAACAGGGGCAGAATTTGAAATGTGCTGAAAGACCTGTGAGATCTAAATCTTTTTCCAAGAATATGCATAGATCAAGGAAAAATAAATGTCACATATACCAGCAATAGCATGCACTTACTATATTAACTATAGTCTCACAAATATCATATATGTACCCATGAGGTGGCAACATCATGTGAACTCCATAATCTCACGTCATCAGCACTGATACAATAGTAAACCAAAACTCTGCACCTCTTGCAGGTGTTTGACTTTTGGATCAGTACATTTCAATAGAAAGAGCAGTCTTTCTCCTTAATATACAGTAATCCTTTTCTTCTTTCACCCTTACAGCTCGGGCAGTACAAATCCAGCATACTAGAACCCTTCTGTGTGATGGCTTTCTTTTATGTTTAATAACCTATTGTGAAATACATGTAATATGTGCATTGAGGGAGTTTTAACATCTGTTTGAAATGGAGAGTGGGATATTAGACTTCAAAAGGCCACCAGAAGCTTCTTCCAGAGAGAAGTACCACCTGCAACTCGCAGCTTTTGCATGTACTCGCTGTACGTCTCCCACTGACTTCTAACCTATATTCCACTGTAAAACACCAGGAGCTCCGGAATATGTAATCATGTTACTAACACACTGTGTTCTCTGCAACAGGCAACTGTATCTATAGAAATTGATTACTGCTCTGCGTATATTCCAGAGGGTATTTCCTTATGAAGCAGTAGAATCTCATCGTAAGTCACATTGAATTTTTTCTTTTCACAATGTTGTTCACTATAAATACAGAAATACAATGTATTGTATAAGAATTAACCCCGCACTCTCTTTTAAATTCAACTTTTAGTATTGTTAGAAGACTCAATTAAAAGGAACTCTCCGAGCACCATAACCACTACAGATCAGCTTGGATAAACCAACAACCGCGTTTCATCAGCACGCCATATACATATATGTATATGGAGTGAACCAAAGAGGAAATTAAAAAGAAACATCAGAAATAAAAATAATACCACCTTACTCCATAGTAGAGACCATAAGTACACCTAAACAAAATTTATACAGTTACATACTCCTCATCTTCCATGAAATAAAATTACTGAGTTATTGTTTCAGAAAATGAATTACTATGACAGCATTAAGGGTTCAATGATGTTCTAATAGAAAAATAAAAAAACACGACTGGCTGCATTGTATAAAGAATAGTTTCATTGTATACAATCAATCAGTTCAAGAAAATACAATATGAAAAACATATGTCTGAAATAATATACACTGAATGCTATCCAAAATGAATTAAATACTAAGCTGAACAATTATTTTTTTTCTGCTAAAAATCTATATTTTTAAAGTTTTAAATAGCAAAATATAACATTTAATTGATTATATCTCCCAAAAATAACTAATTAGCAACTCAAGGAACTTAATACCCCTGAATCAACAGAAAATGTTTAAAAATTCATAGGAGCTTTTTAGATAAATAAATCCCAAAGACTCAAAAAGGTTTTCATTTGTGATTTGTTCTTAAGGAACAGTGATTTTTACCATGACTTAAATAGTTATTTAGTATTTTGGTAGCAGAAGAAGGTAGCCATGCAGGGATTCATTACCTTAACATCAATGCAAAACCCTTCTAAATATTACAAATATGCATAACTTACTGACTGATTGAGATATTAAACTGCGTTGAAAATGTCAGCTTCTAGAATTATGGTAAATTCATTACAGGAATTGATTTATTTTTTACTAATATTAGACAAGGATTTAAATTAACCTGATTTTTATTAAAGGGCCACTCTGAGCGCCAAAACAACTTTATCTTAATGATGGTGTATAGATCATGCCCCTGCAGTCTCATTGCTCAATTATCTGCTGTTTAGTGGTTGTCATTTTGTTAATGCAGCCCAAGCCACACATCCCCAGATGAGACTCACACAGCCTTACTACACACTTCCTGAAAAAAGTCCATCTATTTAGCTTCCATTTTTGCACAATGTGTTTAATTTAGACTTTATTATTCCCTGCTACGTTAAGAGCCCTGAAGTGTGTAAGTGAGCCAGGGGATACGTGGCTACAGTTGTATAGAAATTACCCTGCAAGTCATTTAGTCTTTTTCCTGTCTAGTAATTGTGAACTTTGATTGGCTAGGCAAATGTAATAACCGGAAGCACTTAAAGGGCACCTGCTGGAAAAACTACAATTTTTAGGTCAGACAGCAGTGCTATTGATCTCTGAAAATTGCATCATGCCGCCTGTGTAACACCCCTTCCATCAAGTAAGAATACATTATTTTGGGAGGAATTTCTACAAAGATTTATGATTATACATCTTGATGATATACTGTTAAATTCCCCGAACCTGGCCTCTCATCACAAACACTTCTGGTCTTCAATCTGTAATAAAGAAAGGGTATATGACCCTTCTAGATGGATCCCTTAAAACATTCTCGCACCCACCTTATTATGTAATAAGTTAAAGCTTAACTATGTTACTTGCTTTTTTCTTTTATTCACACCAGTAAAAATATATTTGCATCTCTGATGATAAGTACTTGTGTGTCCCACATATCCTTTTGTATTCCATTATGCCTAATAATATATTTTGTTTACTGCATGATTACAATTTCCCTATTCCCTTCTGTTTCTTTTTTTTCTATACTATTCTCCTTTCATAATGCTGAGCAAAATTTATATTGGAAAAAATACATTAGCAACCACTTCATTATGTATAATGCTTTTTCTTCACAATGTACCACCAGTTCCAATGGACACGTAACCCTCCATGGCTTCATTACGGTTAGACTATAAAATTACCACTCTTACTATACTTTGACTGGGATGGCACGTGGATGGCATTCTAATTCCGTTTTATTATGTTCTTTTGAGTTGTTACTCTAATTATCAATAATTGATGTTCTCTCTCTCTCTCCATAGCATTTAAAGCCAATTGCATATGTGAGTTTCAAGAACAAAGATCATATTCTTTATCCTCAATTTAATTAAACAAAAACACTAGGTTTTGTTATAGACGCTTTAATTTTTTATTTTTTTTAACTTATTTAAAAAACAATGGTTATATGGATTCCATTGCATTTTTTACTGAAATTTATTGAGTCTCAATACAAAAGGTTAAAAAAACAAACAATAAAATCAATATACCTCAATAATAATAAATCAATACTTACCTGACTCTAAACAGACAATAACGAAATTGAAAAGGGGAGAAAGTGATGGCTGACTTAACGCTTATTGTGTAAGGATTAGTTTCGCATGTCGGCTGGTAATAGCTGATGATTGGTAACTAGTTTGGGAGCTGAACAAAAAAAGCACACTTCAATTAAAGCATGACTTCTTTTGGAAGTAAAGCGAAGGCTTGCAGAACAACATTGCACATTAAAAATAAACCAAAATTAATATACAACACACCTTAATGGTTTGATAATGGAAGACAAAACAAAGTATAATAAGAATTCTGGAGTCTGCAATTTATTAATGTTTAAAGAGTTCGATTCTTGAAGAATTGCTTTTGTTCATTTTTTATTCTTAGTTTTAGTTTTGCAGTCCAGTGAAGAGGATACAAATATAAAGAAAGATACATTCATTTTGAGCAACGTGGGCTAGACACCACCCTCTTCAGAGAGAAGCCTCATTGCCATGAACTTTAAAACAAAAAAAATATCTAAAAGTTAAACTAGAGTCGTTTCATGTAGGCATTCAGACTGTAGACCAGTGTTTCCCAACCCAGTCCTCAAGGCACACCTACCAGTCCAGGATTTAGGGATTACCCAGTTGTGTCTAAGGTGTTTTTTTTCTTCTTTGTAAAAACACCTTAGACACAACTGGGTAATCCCTAAATCCTGGACTGGTAGGTGTGCCTTGAGGACTGGGTTGGGAAACACTGCTGTAGACCATGCTACTGGAATTAAGGACGCATAATATCACTGATCATAGTGAGGAGTGAGATGATCCATAGACTGCTAATATTTTCAAATTATAAAGAAGTTGGAAACCCATAGTAGAAATTTATGATTGGTGGATAACACATAGTCTAGGTTCCTGATGGGTTTTCCACATTTTTTGAAACTATGCTTAAAATGAATCCTAACAGAAACTCCATTCCTACTATGGTAGACCATTATTTTCTTAACCCCTTAAGGACACATTACATGTATGACATGTCATGATTCCCTTTTATTCCAGAAGTTTGGGTGTTTAATCTAGACTTTTCTACTTTCTTAACCCCTTAAGGACCAAAGTGAGCAGGTAGGTTGCAGTAGAGACCAGATACTAGCTGGGAATCCTTTACCCTTAAACGAAATAGCAGCAAAGACACATAGGAACAGCAGCTGCTCCAGAATGGATACAGAGGATAATAAAATCACCATAAACAGAAAATCACAAAAACACATGATATCTGCTGTCAAATCAGGCAAGCATCTGTAAGTGGATCATAAAAAAAACATGCATAAAACTAAAAATTGGTACATTTCTATAATTGCAATCAGTTTCTCGAAATCTTGCTAACAAATTGTGACCTGCACAACAACTCATCCTATTGATAGTAACGAGTCCAAACACCTGATATAACCTTTTTAAAGTTGTACTTATCTGGCCGACAACATAGCGTATAAATCCTATAACATAACTTACTTTTTTGAACACAAAGCATGCTCTACCAATACGCCTACCTTCTCCATTAAAAAAGTAGTAAGATGAAGGAAGAAAATGGCACTAAATAAGATAAAATTCGGGTGCTGCTAAAAATAACCCAAGTGCAATGTCACTATTCAGACTTAAAACGCGGTACAATGTAAAAACAGACAAGGTGATTTGCGCACACAGATATCTTTGGTTTACCTTGCAAATAAAGTTTATTTCGTAAACAATACAGTGGAATTTATTTTTCCTATATTAAATAAAAACTAAACAAACACGTATAGGGTAATCTGTATAACAAGTGTGTGTGTGT